CTCGCCTATTACCGCGAGCGTTACGTTACCGCTGAGGGGTGGGAGGGGAGCGCTGACTCACCCACCGCGTCACTGCTGGTGTGGGGGGGGGGCTCAGATTTCGCAACATGTCACAATATGTATTGTGACATATTTGCGCTATGCAGGATACCCCCTCCCCCGCCAGTGGTAATGTAAGAGCATCAGAGCGCTGTCGCTACGGTAACAGGTCAGTCAACACTCTGTCCCCCTCCCCCGCGGTGATGTAACAGCACTTCCCACTGTGACATAAAAGGGACACCGCTGTAACATGAGGCAACAGGGAATGGTATAAAAAGCCAGCTGAGCAGTATGTGAGAGAGTGTGTGATCAGGAGTGACACAGTGCGGATCGTGAAGTTGCCGAGTGCAGCAGAAGTCTAGCAGTCGATGTAATTGTGATACTGCCAATGGCAGTAATTGTAATTGGGAATTGTATAAGTGTATGAGCGAATGTGGAATAAATTCTCTATATCCAAGATGACGTGAAGTTATTTGTCACATCACATACCCAACACGAGACAGTATAATCTGTATATAACGTACGGGATCTGAATCATAAACTGAGGAATATCTTGAATTGAAGTAATTTAATTAACTTTGATATTACTGAAGCTGAAAGTTAAAACAAGGAAAACCTTAAATTCATGAACATGTAATGTTGTGGTGATTAATTAATTAAACACAAGGACACTGCATGTACAAATATACAAATAGTGAGACTATCACTTCAATCTCCCTACCAGTTTCAGGAGCTGTTATTGTTTCCACCAGTGCTTTACTCCACGTGACATTGTAGTGCAGTTGGCTCTCCACTATGCAGTCCAAGGCAGCCGCTTTGTTTAGTGCTGATACAACTTGTGCTGGAGTTTCAACATGCGGTGGTGGACCTTTACAAACAACAGTGATATGAAAGCCATACATCTTCTAGTGACATTTCTAAATTAGTTTATTTCATGATCTGGTCTCATAGTGCCTCATCAAATCTTGAATATAATGTACAAATCAAATTAAATGCGAGATTTATTTTCAATAGCTTATTTACCTGAATCCCAAAACCCAAATTTGAAACTCATTTTTTCTTTTGAACTGGAGAGCTTTATAATTTTTCTTTCCTCTCCTCCCACTGTTTTTGAGTCCTCTGAAGACTGAATATAAGATAATACTGCAGTATATCTAAGTTACTAAAAACTGAATCATTTAAAACATTTTGTGAAAAAATTTGTGGCACATGAAAGGAACAATATCTTATACCGCACACAAATTGGATATGATGTACTAGTTTGCAAATTTATTCATTTTACTTTAGAACTGTGACTGCTTACCTGAACAGTATTTAGTGATTCAATTGACATATTGAATATATGGCAAAGATAAAGGTAAAGCTATCTGTGTAACAGGCCGTGGAGGCTCATAGGGTTGTGTGACGCCAAGGCACCCAAATTTTTTAGAAAATTGGCTCACTGATGGCGGTGACATTGTCAGCCTTATATGCTAGCTGCACTTTACCCCCAGGAAGATTTCTGATACTCATTTCTGTTAGAGGGTGAAACGACCCCAGGGCCATAGTGCGGCTGAAAGGATTAGGTCAATTGAAAAATCCAATGATCTCATCGGGAATTAAACCTGCAACCTTCCAGCTTGTACCAGAATTCATCATCCAACTACACTACTGTGTGCACCATCAGATATATGGACCAAAAGTAAAAATATCATTGAATAGGTGAAAAGAGTGAATGTTCCATTAGTTATACTTTGATGTTGTATGTATGCATTTGACACAGCTATTGCAAAGGAAATGTCAAATACTGAATTTCACCACACCTGTGATTGTTAGCCAAGTTCCACTGGATGCCCTGCCAGCAACATTGTTTGCGTGACAACTGTAGTTCCCTTCATCTGCTACTGTGGGATTCTCGAGAACCCAAAATAACTTTGCAGTTTGTCTGAAAATACATAAAAACCGTTTCTGTTAATATTTATCAAATGAGTGTAAATGGAGTAAAAGATAAAAAAAAAAAAATAGTACACATTCTAACCTGACTGATATATCTGACAGACTGACATGTTTATAATTGTTAGTGTGACGGAGCAGAATGAAACAAATCAAATTTAGCATTTGCCTCATTCCTCACTTTAATCTTCCTCCTGTTATTTCTTTTTCCACATTCTTCTTCTTATGATTCTTCATTGTAGTCTATAATTTCTTTTTCTAACTTTTTCCTTTTTCCTCCATTGAGAAAGTTCCCCCTTTTAGGTCACTGGTTCCCACACTGATTCACTCACAGCACTGATCCAAATCCTCTGTTCTCTATGCTACATACTATTTCTCTTGTTCACTTCATTTCTTCTACCATGAAGAAGGAGACATCCTCCAAAAACGATGAAACCTATCTACCAACTGCACAGTATCACATCCCAGAGTATCATAATCTTAATATTTTCTGCCATGAAAACTTCAAAATCTGTAGTTTTACACAGACATAGACGTACACAAAGACAGAACACTTATGCAACAAATCCAACTTGGCATTCTGGAATATTATGGCTTCATAATCATTAAACTGCATTGGATTTGAAGTTCTCATAGCAGCAACTATTAAAAGTATTATCCTTTTGGATATGACACCATGTAGTCCAGTAGAATTTCGCTAATGTTCTGGAGGAACATATCTCCTCCATCTTTGTGGCTGAAGAATAAGCCAAGCAAGAAACCAGCAAGAAGCAGGTTGCAAGCATAGCAAGTTTTGCCAACTGTTTCTTCCTGAAGAGCACCATCTTCTGGGATATAACTCCATGTAGTGTGCTGAAAGTCTACCAAAGTTTTGCAGGAATATATTGTCTCCATCTTCAGGGTTGAATAAGATGAGGAAGATACCAGCGTGAAAGCAAGTGGCAAGCTCGTGTACTCCTTCCTTGGCTTATTCAACCCTGAAGATGGGGACAATATGTTCCTCTGAAACACTGGTTGCCTTTCACTGGACTACAAGAAGTTATATCCCGGAGAACAGTTCTCTTCCTAACCACTGCTGTGAGAGCCTCAAATGTTTCTTCTTGGTGTCTTGCGGGGGATGTTTTTTTGCAACACTGGTGACCTTTCATTGGACTACACAGTATGACATCCCAGAGAATAGTATTCTTCACTTAAGTATGGTTTTCACAGTAAGCAATATACCATTTAAAATGGGACTCTGCTATTAGCATCACATGGTTCCTTATGCACATTTACAGTTTACACAACTCAGCTCATCTGCATGATAAATTTAAATTCCAGCACCTAACATGGAACATAAGGAGTTTCCACTTGGGATTTAAATTCATATATGTTAAATAACACTGGCTCCGTAACTGGTAATAATGCTGTCATTTAATCATCATGAGAATCAAAATTACTGTCTTAAGAAAATATCTGTTTGAAATATATTAAAGATTCACATCTGATGTGTTTACCAACCGATTAAATGTCTATTAAGAGATGATTTACGTACAATCAATTATTCGAAAGATCATTTACGCAAACAAAAACTAATAAATATTGCCAACATACACCAAATGTTAGCCTTTAACTTCATCTCGAAGAGTATGGTAGCAGAATTCAGGTGCTTCAAATATTATTTGTGAGATGGTTGCACTAGTTATGAGTAGCCATCTACATGGAATGGACAGCATTCAACAGCAGCAATTGGCAGCTGTGTAGTGTGCAGTCTATGACATTCCATGCTGACAATTTAACAGTTTAAAATCTGAATTTAATCTACATTCTATTTAATAACACAATTCATACCTCAAGGGAAACACACAACATCTCCTCTACAAAGCCCAACCAGTTAATGCTGTATAGGGAAACAGTCACTGTTTATTGTGAGAACTATATGGAACACACAGATACTCTCTGCAGGCTGAACACAGAGTTTTAGTATGTTAAGGCAGGTGGTACATATAGTAACCACTGGTCTTTAAATGGTTAAAGGAGGAAGTGTGATTAAAACAGAGTCAACTTACTTATAATTCTCACGGCTTGTAAGTGGAACTCCGTTCTTAAACCACATAGCTGAGAATGGGATGAGTGATTCGATGTGACATTGCATCCTTACAGGTCTCTTAAGCCACCCTCTCACCTCAGGCTTCATGTGTACTACTGGTGGCTCTGCACACATACAAGGACACAACATACTGAGAATCCCTCTTACTAAACAGGTCACAATAAGATCATGTTATACAGTATTACTGAATCTACATATACATAAAAATAGGCAAATGAAAAAAAAACATACCAAACAAAAAACAGATGAGTCCTTGCAATGCCACAATTTTGTACAATAAAATTTTGCTACAAACAAGCCACAATACAATCATATTACACAGAACAGGATTTTTCATTGGGAAGAAGGGAAACAAATACAAAAGAGAAAACTACAGAAAAGAATTACAAAACGGTTCTAAATTTTTAACTAGTAAAGAAATATTCTGGATTAAAGAGATCTAACATATAAATGAAGCTGATCTTTATCAAAAGTAACAACAGCAAAATCAAAGTAATTACCGAGACTCTGTGTTCAGAATCTGCTTGGTGTAGCAAAGAGTTTGGAATGAAGATTTCATAGCCAGTATCCATGTTGTAGGGTAGAAGAAAGAGAGGGAATACTGCCCAGACTCAAGCTCATATATACAACCTTTGCTGCCTGAAATTACTCACTGAAAGGATGCATAGCCTGCTCCCACATCAAAGAAGGGACATACTCTTGAAAATGTGTCCATACTGTGAAATTCTGCAATGTGATCTCGCAAAGTTATTAGCTAAAATTCATTCCTATGGAAACATGTTTGATCCACTGCCTTTTTCTCTCTCTTCGGCTCTTCAGCCCTCTGGACTTCGGCTGCTTTCTCAGTTTCTTAATCCTATACACAGTCGGTATAACACCTTGGATTGGGGATCAGCCCATTGCAAGGCTTCTACCAACACACAGAACAACACACACACAGAATAAATGCACACAGACATCCATGCCTCTAGTGGGATTCGATCCCATGACCCCAGTGTTCAAGCAGACAAAGACAGTTCATGCCTTAGACCACGCAGCTGCTGTGATCAGCTGTTTCATCCACAGTTGTAATAAAATCTTACATAGAGAAACAACTTTTAGGTAGGCAAAAATAAACTTAACAGGAAAACTGCTTGCACATGCTGGCCTCTTGGACTCTCCCCAGTCATCTTGAATAAGAGTAACACATAGCATGATCTGAAGCGGCCTCCGTAGTCTAGAGGTAACGTTCCCACCTCATGACTCGTGGTACGCGGGTTCAAAAACCCGGCGGAGGTCGTCGAATTTTTAAGGGCGGAAAAATTCAGGGAACAAGTCCTCCAGGAGGGACTTTAAGCCTTGGTTCCCATGTCGTAGCTTTACAGCACGTAAAAGAACCATCTCCAAAGCAGATCACTGAGCCAAATTCAAGGACGTTTCTCGCCCAACAGCAGTCTCTAAGGCCTCTGATAGATGGGGGAAGCATTAGATACCGCCAAGCCAGTTCAGAACTCGCTGGCTCAGTCGGGACCGATGGTACACACCATTATCGGTAGGGTATAGAGACTGGTAGAATATCATAGAGGGAAGCACAATGGACCAATACTGGTCTAAGTGCATGGGGAAACCCACCCTCTCCAGTAACTAACTATCTAACTAGCATGATCTGAAATAAAATAGGAGAAGTAACCATAATATCAGACATCCCCTTACACCAGTGACACAAGCAAACAGCTACATATTCTGCTCAATTTATGTTGCCCCTCATGTGTGGGATGTTGGTTGTGGTAGCACAGAGTGACTGTGAGTGGGCTGATCTTCCTTGCATTGGCAGTTGGGTGACTGTGAGCTGACCAGTCTTCCTTCTGTCAGCTGATGGTGCTGACGATAGGAGACTTGCTGTTGCTGTCTGCTCCCACAGGAGCTGTCTCCATGTAAGGGCACCTGTGACTGACTAGAATGTCAGATATATCTTTATATGCTGTTGCTAGTGGTGCCTGAACCATTGGACGCTGGGACTGCTATGGTCCTCGCTGAGTGGCTAGCACTTGCTTCAATGTGGGTGGCTCCCATACAAGTTTAAAAAATTGAAATATTTATCCTAAATGTCTGTGAGAGTAAATTTCTGGATTGATCCTGAATTTTACAGTAATTCTTTTATATTGCCCACATAAGGGTAAAATCGCCTAATCCAGTTGCTGCTCCTTTCATCACAGAAAAGTCCCATTTCAAAGCACAGAATTGTTCTTGGAATGAACAAGAATATTGTTACAGGTCCACATGGGGCCTGGAACCATGAATGACTGTACTGACGAGGCCCAGCAGCACATTACTGTCCTGCTGTCCCTAGAAATGTCTGTGTGGCTGATCTCTGTTTTTTACCATGATACTGCAATGCAGCTTAAGCAACCTTTACCTGGACTCTGTCCAGTAATTGCCGTAGGTGATATTCTCTTCAAGGGGAAGCCATCTTTATCAAATCCATCAACCTGAAAAAAATTTCCACAGCATAATAGAAAGTTTGTGATAGCAGAACTGACAGTTATGATATTGTGGCATGCTGCCTAAAAGTCAGAATATCTGACTCAGAGCGGGCATCCATTGCTAGACAATGGCTCGGTAGTCATGGTCTTGCATTGCTGTCTGGGTGACAATTTAACATGTTCACATGACAGCGCATATATAACGGACTGTTACCATGGAACTGAAAACCAGAGCTAGTGCGGTTCCCACTGCAACAAATACACTAGCTACCAGTGCATCGAAAACGCAAAATGGAACCCTTGAACAAGGTATTTCCTAGACTGTTTTACTGTCAAATATAATAGAACAAAACAGAAGAGAACAGAGCAGACAACAGAACAGAAGAGAACAGATGGGAACAGAGCAGAGCTGAGAGCAGAAGAGACCAACAGAGCTAAGAACTAAGGAAGACATGTCAACAAGAATAGCAGTGGAAAGAGAGAATAGCAATTGAAGACAGAATAGCAGGGTGAAGATGAAATGCGAGAGACGACAGACTAGTCAGGTTGCATCATGAGGAAGACGTAATTTTTGAGTAACTGTAAACAACTTATCCAATAAATCACTTCATCTAATCTGGAACTCATTAACTTCTTGTTGCATTACCAGGATATGTGACAATATCATTAATATCAAAGTCTGGCACTGAGCATGATCCTGCTTCCAAAACCTATTTCCACGAGACCAACTTCAATATTATCTTCCCAACTTCTTTTCATTTGCCTTTCAAGTGAGTTTTCCAAGAGATTTAACTAACTACCTAACTCCACGGAGATGAGTCCTTCTTGAGAAGCCAGTAGCTGGTCAGCTACCCAAGAATTTTCCAACGTATTGTAACGTGTTTGCGTTACTGAAGACGCCGTAGAGATGGTTAATTGGTTTATTTAACAATCTACAAATAACGGCTACAATTAATTATCACACAGTTGCGGGGTTTCACACTTTATAACCCTAAGCGCATTAATCTGTTAACACTGTTGCGGGGTTTCACGATTTATAACCCTATGCGCAAATCAGTTCACTCTGTCTTCAGTAGTAACACGTTGACAGTAGGGGAGCTTTGTATCACTGTATCACACGCTCCCAATTACACAATCGCACACACGTCCGGATCTTCTTACCGCGACGGCTGCTATACTCCAACTGTAGTCGGCTGGCTGTTACTTTATAACTCGGAATGTCTTCGGCGGTAGCCACACTGGAACTCGAACTCGAACTGATCGATACGCACTGTGCATCCACTTATATAGCTGCAGTGCTTGCCTGTGGCGTAATGAGTGCCACGTCACAGTAGGACGTTGATTACGGTTACGTTAGCGTTGCGCGTTACGTCACCGCGTTACGTCACCGCGGAGGGGAGTGGCGGGGAGCGCTACGTTACCGTGGAGAGGAGGGTGGAGGGGGGTTCTCAGTCGCGCAACATGTTACAGTATTATGGAACCTAAAATTTCATTACTGTGTTCACAACAGCCTGCCACCAGTCCCTATCTTGAGCCACACTAATCCTGCCCATACCACCCCATCTTATTTCTCTGAGATTCATTTTAATATTATCCTTCCATCTATGCCTGGATGGAACAGTGACTGGCTACAAGCTGGACAACTGACAGGTCAGAGTTTGAGTCCTGGTTTGGGGCAAGAATTTACTCTTCTCCCCATTGTCCAGACTGGTTGTTGAGCCACCCAGCCTCCTATCCAGTAGGCATCAGGGACTCTTTCTTTGGTTTTAAGGTGGCCAGGACATGGAGCTGACCACTCACCTCCAGCCAGTGCTGAAGTCAAGGAAACTTGGAACTATCAACCATCCTCCCTGTGCTATCATGGTGTAGTGTTTAATTAGTTAAAAACAGAAAGAATTTTACTAATAATGTGTATAAATTACATAATTACACTTGTCACATGATAGCCTATATTTTGCCCTTCATTTTATGTTGTATAAATAAAATGTACAAACTCATTTTCCATTATAAACTCGGCTTAGTTTTGCAGTGGGATCATTTGAGATCTTCCAGTAAATCACCTGAACTGCTCTGACAGTAGACACAATTGTTCCCCACCATCCAGCTGACCTACAGAGATTCACACTTCTAGCAGAGCAGTAAAAGTAAATGAATATGCACATTATGATCACCCTTTAATTTATTCCCAGCTACCATGAAGGAAGATTGTGCATTCATAAATCTTGAGCCTCATGTTGCTACTGCTACTATATCTGATTTGTCTGATAAGCAGTCATGATTCAGCTGTGTTATTTCCTGTACCTGCATGCCACATGTGATTTACCCATTAGAAGGACAAGTGTTCATGTACAACAAAAAAAGTTGTAAAAGAAATGTAAGGAGAATTGTATAGGCTTAAATTCCAGGCTGTTACAGTCCTGAAAAGGGAAACTACTTCTAGAATTGTAAATAAACTGAAACAAACAGGGTCATCATCAGAGAAAGAGAAATCAAAAACCATTTGGAGTGGTCATGAAGAGAAATTGGATGAAATGAGTACCACGCTTGAACATTCTCCTCAAAAATTCTTCAGAAGGCTTGAACAGGAAATCTTAATCTCAAGTTTGCTCTATTATCAGAATGGACTTCAAAATCTGGGAATACAAACATTTTACAGAGATGCAAGGAATGCTTACATAAAAATAGGGAGGATTTTTGCAGTGACCTAGGCAAGCTTCCTTGCAGGAAGAAAAACTTTTACTTCATTATTATTCATTGCTGTACTTGTTACTATCATTGCCTTTAACAGCATATAGACCTTCAAATGATTTTAATTAATTAATTAAAATCCAAAACTTGTCTTATATGTCATGCACCCCTACTAATGACAGTAATTTCAAATCATCCAGCATCTCTCTCTCATGTACCAGTCACAGCAATGGTGCACACTGTCTCACCATTCCATAATAGCTTTGTGCAACTGTTATCATGAAACAGCTGTGTTCTTCCTTATGCAACTTACATAGGCCTTAATGGGTGCAACTATGTCCCTGGAGAACATAACTCTCTATTTCTCTCACCTCCCCTATTCATCACTTGTGGATTATCCTACAACAGGGATTTTCAAGGAAGTAACCCCCTCCTCCAGAGTTATCATATTTCAGTATCTCTGAATACTTACACCTAGGTGAAAGAAATCATTAGGCAGAAGAAACTTGGATCCTTGGTAGAGGCCAGGCTTATCAGGAACTGGGTGTAGTGGGATTTCTTGAAACTCGTTTCCTTTTAAGTCTATTAACTTCAGAGATGTCAGGTTATGCACCACGTCTGGCTGAGTGGGTGCAACTAATACTGAATTCTTATCACCTATAAACAACATTACACACAAGAAAACACATTATACAATAAAATTAATTGTACATAAAATGTTTAATTTTAGGTTCTTTTGGCTGTAACTGTTAAGAGCATGGCCTTCTGGGTTGTAATGATGTTCTAGGGGAACATATAGTCTCCATCTTCAGGGTAAAATTCTACAATATTCAAGAAACCAGCTTTCTGACTGTTTTTGTTGGTTTCTTGCTTGACTCACTCTTCAAGCCTGAAGATGGAGGTGATATATCCCTCCAAAGCATTGAATGCTGTGTTTTGTATGAACTGCATTGTGTTACAACTCAAGAGACTATATCTTTACAATTTAGTAATCTTTATACTGTGTTTTAAATTAATTTCTTCCACCAATTCTTTGCAAGTGGATTGCTGATACATGGGTAAATGGTTTTCGTTCAGTGGCTTCTGTCTCATGGCATGTAGCACTGTTTCCAGTACCTGCTTCTGACAATACCTAAAAATATATATGCATGTTATCCGTAAATATCTATATATATGTTAGTGACATTTCCACTATTAAGAAGATAATTTATGCCCAAAAGCAGTGCTTCCCAGATGTTCCATGAAAAAAGGGCTTTAAATTGTTTAAACATTCATAATGGGAACCACATAAAGGCAAAGTCATCCTTGTGTTTAAAAAGCACTATGCCATAGAGATATATGGGATCGTTGATGTATAGATCCACATTTTCTTGACCTCGGCACTAGTTGGAGGCGAGTGGTCAGCTTCATCCCCAGGAAAGAGCCCACTGTACCCATTTTATAGGAAGTTGGTTGGACCCCAGAGCCGGTCTGGACAACATGGAGAAGTAAAAACTCTTGACCCTACCAGGACTCAAACTCCAGCCTCTTGGTTGTCCAGCCTATAGCCAGTCGCTATATCAACTGAGCTATCAATGGGAACCACATAGCAGGCATATTTATAACAATTATTTAAATAGAAAAATATTACAAAATCTATAAAAGTTTGTGACATCTACAATCAAGTGTTCCAGTTTCAGTAGTCTCACCTCGACGTTTCTGTGCAACACCATTCATATACTGAATTCACACTTCTCAAGGCTCTTTGTCTCTTACTTTTATGCACAATGCAACAGGATGCTGCAATATAATATAATGCTTATGTGTACTATAATTATGTTGGATATTGTATGGAGGGGAGCTGCGAATATATTAAATAAGCAGTTGCGGACAGCCGACAAGGGGTGGTCCTCCAGTTTGGGGGTTGGGAGTGGTGCTAACAACTCCTCACCATAGAAAATAAACTTGTTACAAAAGTTCTCAAGAAGCCTCAGACCTAGACAGATTCTCTGGATAAACGACCTAAGCTAAAGAAAATGGACATGAAATTCGGTACTGGGAACGTCAGAAGTATGTACAGGGCAGATTCGCTCAGGGCAGTGGTGGAAAAAATCTTAAAATATAAGTTAGATTAGTATGAGTACAGGAGGTCAGATGGGACAGAGGTGGCATCACACCAGCAGGCAAATATACATTTTTCTATGGAAAGGGGAATAAAAATCATGAATCAGGCACTGGTTTTTTCATACATTAAGAGAATTGTATCAGCAGTTAAGAGGGTAGAGTTCGTTAGTGATAGGATATCATATATAATACTAAAAGGTCGCTGGTGTGATATAATCATTATGAATGTTCACGCCCCAACAGAAGATAAAATTGATAATATAAAGGACAGGTTCTATGAAGAACTAGAACATGTATTTGATAAATTCCCGAAGTACCCTATGCAAATTTAGCTAGGAGATTTCAATGCCAAAGTAGGAAGGGAAGACATTTTCAAACCAACGATTGTGAATGAAAGTTTGCATGAAATTAGTAATCATAATGGAGTTAAGAGTAGTAAACTTTGCCACATCAAAAAATCTTACTGTCAAGTACAATGTTCCCACATTGTAACATCCATAAATTTACTTGGACATCCCTGATGGGAAGATACACAATCAAATAGACCATATTTTGATATATAGGAGATGGCACTCAAGAATACTTGATGTCCAATCATTCAGGGCAGCAGATTGTGATACTGCCCACTACCTGGTGGTGGCCAAGGTTAGGGAAAGACTGGCAGTGAGCAAACAAACAACACACAGAGTTCATATGGAGAGGTTCAATCTCAAGAAATTAAATGAGGTAGAGGGTAAGGAGCAGTATCGTGTTGAAATCTCAAATAGATTCGTGGCCATGGAAAACTTGGACACTGAGGTGGATGTTACTAAAGCTTGGGAAACTTTTCTGCCAAAGAGAGTCTAGGTTACTATGAACTGAATAATCATAAGCCATGGTTCGATGAAGGCTGCTCAAAATTATTAGACCAAAGAAAACAAGCCAAATTGCAGTTGTTATAAGATCCAAGCAAAATGAATAGGGATAATCTGAACAATATAAGATGTGAAACCAGCAGGCATTTCAGGAATAAAAAGAGGGAATATCTGAAAGACAAAATTGATGAGCTTGCAATGTACAGTAAGAACAAGAACATTAGAGACGTGTTTGTAAGAGTTGGGACTGCAATACTGACTGAAAGATGGGTAAACTCTATTGCCTTCTACTGTGGTCATCTTCAGGCTGTCTCTAGTTAGTGCTGCTAATCCATATTACTGCATAAAACACACACACACATTTCATCTGTCTTCAGTTGTTGTTAATTCACTGACAGATTTTTATTGTTTATTATTTACAATATATGTGACAGAAACATCTGGAAAGTTTCGAAATGTGGTGTTGGAGAAGGATGGAGAAGATCAGTTGGACCAATTATGTGAGAAATGAAGAAGTGTTAATTAGAGTCAGTGAGCAGAGGAATATCCTACACGAAATAAGAAAATGGAAGGCTAATTGGTTTGGTCATGTTTTACGCAGAAACTGGCTTCTAAAAGAAGTTATTGAAGGAAAGATAGAGGGGTGGATAGAAGTGACAAGAAGACGAGGAAGAAGGCGTAAGAAGATGCTGGATGACCTTGGGGACAGAAGAGGATACTGTCATTTGAAGGAAAAAGCTCTAGATCACATTAAATGGAGGAATTGTTTTGGAAGAGACTGTGGACCTGTCGTCTTGACAGATTACTGATGATGATGATATGTGACAACAGCCAGGAATGAACCTAGAACCTTTCAAATTCAAATACTGTATGCTGATTACCTGATGGTTTGTAAAATGAGAAGTTTCAGTTATGATTCTGAGTTGTGATAAAAAAATAATTTCAGATTTAAGGAATGAAACAAAATCAACAAGGGAACACATTAAAATGAGAAGACAGGTTCCAATTTATGTGACTGAGGAGCTTGGGATAATGGTATTGTTCTAGATGTGTACTTGGGAAGACCTTGGTTCAAATTTCAGCCAGGACACTGGCTATCCTGACAGAGATTTCTTGTTTTCCTCAGACCCTCCATGCAGATGTTGGGATAGTACCTCCATCAGATCAAGGCTTTTTCAATTTGTCATTCATCACTCTTCCTGCAATTCTGTATTTCAGTCCAGATAATGACAACTTTCGAAAATAACCCATAGCAATATATATATTGTGACATGTTGCGCAACAAAGGACCCCTACCTCCCCAGCGGCACGTGGTGGTAACGTAGCGCTCGCGTAATAGGCGAGTCATCACCCCGTCACTCTCCCCGCGGTGACGTCACGAGCGGAGCCGAAGTTAAGNCAACCTGGTAGCTATGCAACGCGAGTCAACAGCGGTGACGTAACAGGATGACGTGGCACTCATTACGCAACAGGCAAGCACTGCGGCTATATAAGTGAGCTGCACAGCGGCTGCGAGTCAGTTGTAATGTGGCTACCGCAAAGTTAAGTAGTAGACGAGCAAGTGTGTTATCAACATTTCTCCAGTCAGCCGAATACAGTTGGAGTATAGCAGCCGTCGCGGAAAGAAGAACCGGACTTGTAATTGTGTAATTGGGAGTGTGTGATACAGTGATACATAGCTCCCCTACTGTAAACGTGTAGACTACTGAACACAGATTGAGCTGATTTGCGCATAGGGTTATAAATCGTGAAACCCCGCAACAGTGTTAACAGATTAATGCGATTAGGGTTATAAAGTGTGAAACCCCGCAACTGTGTGATAAGTAATTGTAGCCGTTACTTGTAGATTGTTCAATAAACCAATTAACGATCTCTACGGCGTATTCAGTGTCAAGACACGTTACAATATATATATATAAACACATGCACGCACCCACGCACACACACATAGTTAATATGTGGTAGCTCGGTCATATAGTGACTGGCTATGGGCTGGATGGCCTAGGGGTCGGAGTTCGAGTCCCGGTAGGGTCAAGAATATTTTCTTCTCCATGTCACCCAGACCAGATCTGGAGCCCACCAAGCCTCCTATCCAGCAGGTACCACGGGCTCTTTCCTCTGGGGTTAAAGGGCCAGGGTGTGAAGCTGACCACTCACCTCCAACTAGTGCCAAGATCAAGAGAATGTGGATCTATATATCTGTTCCTCAAATGTCTTCATGGCGTAGTGCTTAATTAGTTAAGCACAGGGCCAATTTTTAGTTATCCGTGGTTTCTATGTGCGCACTTCTCCTGTCAACTGTCTTTCCCCCTCTCTCCTTCCTTGCTGAGCCGGCTTCGCGGCCTATGGAGTGGAGCTAAGGGCTCTTGACTTCCCAACCGTCGAAGGGGTAGGTCGTTTTCATTTTGGACCTCTGGTCGAGGTCATCTTCGACTATCCAAATTTACTCTTCCACATGGTATTGAAATTTAGAAAAGCAAACTCTGCAATGATCTTGTAACAGGTATTTACATCATGTTTTGTATTTTTTTCTTTATTTATATATTATATTTATTCCTTGCTGTTATTTGACTTGGTTATATGTTTTGGGTATTTCCGCCTTGCTCATTTCTTTATCCTATCTCGGCTTGTTTTATTCTGTTCTCACGAGAACCTATATAGACCAGAATGATCCCACGATGCAAAAAAGCACAGGGCCAATTTTAATTAGTATATGATTCTGCATAAAATCTCACCTTTCAGTGGTCTGTGGTATGTTTCCTCCATCTTGTCAGTAACAACAACAGAGAATCCAAAGTTAAAATTGACATCACTAAGGCCAGTTGACCTTACTGAATGTTCTGAGTCACTGCCAACTTTGACCTTCCACTGTCCTGGTTCTGGCTCAATAACATTCACTGCTTTAATGTTCTGCAGTGACAGTACAGTATTCAGCTTTGGAGGGCCCTGTACAGGTTTCCCTTCAGGGCTCACCACACCAATGTGAGGGTTTAGACCTGATACTGACACAGTAAATTCTTGCAAAGATTCATCTACAAACAAGTTGTGTTCATCCACAGAGGGTCCGGGTTTATTGACAGACAGCAAGTTCACTTTACGGGACTGTAAGGAGAGCTGCAAAAATTGCAGCACCTGTAACAGAGGATACAATTAACTAGTTTCATAAGCTTCATATTTAATAATAGGTTTGTGCAAGTCTTGAATTTCTGAGATCAGATGAAGAAAATAAAATTTTTATCTCATTTCAAATGATAATTTCTTGCTTTGGACCACTGGCATTCTTGAGTTGTCTGTCATCTAATATTATTAAAATTAAAACACAATGTTTCAGGATCTTGAATTGTTTCCATCTCCATGTGAATGGTTAGGTTGTCACCTACTTAGTCACATCTTTTAGAAACAGTTAACCTCAATATTATGTTCTTTTTAGAATGTAAAACAATGGACAAAGTCCAGAAACTCAGTAATTCCAAGTTAATATATCTTCTAGATCTGAGTTAATTTTTCATTCTTGAACTTAAAAAACTGTTACTTTGCACAGTAGCACACAAATTATTTCATTTCATTTCATTTATTCACCTTCCATAAATCTTGTCGAGAGTACATTCTCATACGGATGTGGAGATCATCCTAGTTACAGTCACAACTAAGGGTTACAGTTGTCATCCAATAGCATACACATTTGTATAAAATACTGATAAACATATACAACATAATAAATAAGTTAATTTTAGCAGTAAAAGTAATGGCAAACCTTATACAATTTGTACAGTTTTATACAAGTCTATTAATCAAAAATTCAATAGTTAAAACACAATATCATTAATGAGTTTTGTATAATATACATTAATTATATAATAAACTGAAATAAAGACTAGTATATAGTAATATAAAGATTGTGTATATCTAAAATAAGCATCTAAAAACCAGAACACAGACTGAACAATCTTGTCTTCTTTTAATTGTAAAGCAAGACAACTACTCGCATCTTAAAAAAATTTATGACCAAAATATTCCTGTAAAGAATAAAAAGAATGTAAATATAAAAAAACTGTTTTAATTGTACCTCAAAACTCTTAGTGTCACTCGATATATCCTTAATATGTTGTGGTAGATTATTATAGACCTTTGTTCCTAAACAGTAGCTCCCTTTTTGGTATTTACTCAATTTTACAAGAGTCTGATGGAGATTATTTTGCTGTCTGGTATTTATTTTATGACTCTCTGAATTTACTACGAATTTGTTTATGTTTTTTATCACAAAGAGCATAAGAGATAGTATGTACTGAAATGCCAGAGGTAAGATTTCTAATTCTCTAAATAAGTTCCTGCACGAATCCCTCCTTCTGCGTCCCAACATAATTCTAATTCTATTCTTTTGCATTCTAAAAATTTTTATACTTCGGGGTGAGTTACCACAAAAGAGTAAATCATAATTTATAATAGAATTAAAATAAGAGTGATAAACCATTTTTAAGGTATTTATGGACGTGTATGGTTTAAGCGATCTTATTATGTAGCAGACTGCACTTAGTTTAGAACTAATATACTCAGTGTGGTATTTACAGCTCATTATGTTATCACTGAATATTCCAAGAAATTTAATATTGGATATAGATGTAATTTGTTTCTTTATCATATACAATTTTTATTTCAGATTTAGGATTATTATTTCTAGCTGTAAATTAAAGGTAGTGGGTTTTGTTAAAATTTATAGAAAGTTGGTTTACTTTGAACCATTCATTTAATCTATTGTACGTCCCCCTTTGATATTCTACCAGTTGCCATACCCTACCGGTACTGGTGCGTGCTATCAGCCCCGTTCAGCCAATAAGGTCGGCCCTAGGTACACGATGCTTCCCCATCTACCAGAGGCATTGGAAACTACTTGGGCAGGAAACTTGCCTAATTTTGCTCAGAGGTCTCCTAGAGACATGAGGATCTTTTAGGTGCCATAAATCTACTACACGGGACCCGCGGCTTAAAGTCCCTCCCGGAGGACTTGTTCCCTGAATTTTTCCGCCCTTAAAAATTCCACGACCTCTGCCAGGTTTGAACCCGCGTACCTTGAGTCATGAGGTGGGAACGTTACCCCTAGACTACAGAGGCCGCTTAGTTTTGGGTAAAGCGTTTATATAAATGAGAAATAACAATGGACCCAGAATTGAACCTTGTGGGACACCATATCTAATTTTGCCCCATGTCGAAAATTCATTGCGATTAAGATTTATATTTGTAATTAAAAACCTTTGATATCTATTCCTGAAATAAGATTCAAGCCATAGTTCAGCTTTACCCTTTATCCCATAGAACTCCAATTTCGACAACAGAACCTCATGATTAACACAATCAAAGGCCTTTTCTAGGTCACAAAAAATGCCTAATATTAAGTTTTTGCTGTTTAAGGTCTTACAGATTTCATTCACTAACTTGTATATAGCCTCTTCTGTTGAAGATTTTGTTCTAAAACCAAACTGTTCTTCCACTAAAATGTTATTGTTATTTAAGTGCTCAATCAACTGAATGCTCATAGCTTTTTCTAATACCTTAGAGAACGAAGTTAAAAGTGATATAGGCCTATAGTTGGAAATATTTGATTTTTCGCCCTTTTTAAACAGCAGTCTTATTTCTGAGTATTTTAAACGATCTGGGAAAATTCCTCGTCATAATGAATTGTTGTATATGCGAGTCAAAGGAGAGCTAATGAAAAATGAACTCATTCTTAATATTTTAGTGGATATTTCATCATATCCATAAGAGTTTTTTTTTGTTTTTGTTTTTTGTTTTTGCTTTGAGAGATTTAATTGTATTTTGAACTTCCTTAGTTGATAAAGATTTAAGTTTAATATGTGGAAAGAGATTTATAAAAGTTTTCATTAAATACTGAATGGGAGTAGGGTCTGGAAGGTAACTAATATTAGTATTATTTTGTTCATTTTTTGCATTTTTATTTTCAGCTGATTGGAGCATTGCTTTGTATGGGGCTGAAACTTGAACACTAAGGGCAGTAGGTCAAAACACCTGGAAAGATTCAAAATGTGGTGTTGGAGAAGGATGGAGAAGATCAGTTGGACTGATTATGTGAGAAATGAGAGAAATGAAGAAGTGTTATTTAGAGTCAGTGAGCAGAGGAATATCCTACATGAAATAAGAAAACGGAAGGCTAATTGGATTGGTCATATCTTACGCGGTAACTGCCTTCTAAAAGAAGTTATTGAAGGAAAGATAGAGGGGCGGATAGAAATGACCAGAAGACGAGGAAGAAGATGTAAGAAGATGCTGGATGACCTTGGGGACAGAAGAGGATATTTTCATTTGAAGGAGAAAGCTCTAGATCACATCAAGTGGAGGAACTGTTTTGGAAGAGACTGTGGACCTGTCATCTTGATAGATTACTGATGAATGAATGAATGAATTTTCAGCTACAGATAAAAAGTAATTGTTAAAGGTTTCTGCAATTACTTCCTTTTCTCTAATCCATTTTCCATCCACCTTTAATGCGGATATTTTTTCATTATTTGGCCCCTTATTAGTTTCTAATTTTACTATATACCATATCGTTTTATTTTTATTTTTGGAATTTTGTTATCATATTTTAGTTTTTTAGCTTCCTTAATGACCTTAGATAAAATTTTACAGTGTTTTTTTACAGTAGTTTCTTAATTCTGAATAATTACTGTTTCTACATGCCATATAGAGTACTCTTTTACATTTACAGGACGTTATTATTCCTATAGTAATCCAATCACTTATTTTAATTGAAATTTTAATTTTTCTTTTTGGAAAACCGGAATAGTAAATTTTCAAGTAAGTGTCTAAAAAGAAGTTAAACATTATATTGACATCATCACTAGAAAATGTTGAGTCCCATGTTTCATAACTTAGTTTAACTAAAGTCATTTATTGTGTTTGTTTATTTTCCTTATTATTTTAAATCGTTTAGCATGTGTTCTCATGTTTATTGTTTTAAATGTTATGGATTGTGCAGCATGATCAGACAATTATTTATTATTTATTTATTAACATTTATTATTTATAATTATTTATTATCAGACATTTATTATAGGCCTTATAGAATAATATTCCCTTCTAGAAATATCGATGAAAATATTATCAATGGCCGTAGCAGAATTTCCTTGAACTCTGGTGGGAAAATTTATTGTACTTATTAAATTATAAGTTCTCAGTAAGGTATCTAATTTGTTTTTCTTTTCACTATCAAGAAGGTAATTTATATTAATATCCCCACAAATAATATATTCTTGTGTTGAGGTATAAGTACTATCTAGTTTTGTTATGAAAGTATCAATGTTTCCAGTTGGAGCTCTATATATTGTAATTATACAAAGTCTGTTGGAGCTCAGGTTTCACTTAACAGCACATACCTCAAAATCTTTTTCTTTACAATATTTTTTTAGGTCTATATTTACAAATTTCAAGCTTGTGCCTAGATAGATGCATACTCCTCCTTTTTCATACAAGGTTCTAGAATAGTTTGCTCCTAGTTTACAAGAATCTATGTTTAACTGTTTAATTCCAAAAAATTCATGTGATGTTCTGTAAAACATAATATGTGTGGGGGAGGCTGTGTGTAGATGACTTAATAGCTCATTTGCTTTCCCCCTTAAACCTCTAATGTTCTGATAAAAAATATTAAAGAATTTGATATCATTTTTTTTTTGGTTACTCCGTTTAAGGAAATATTTCTTTTCGGAGCACCTTTATTTACCATAAAAAATCCTTATTTTTCATACCTGGTAGTTTTTTTTAATCTGTTTGATTTGCGTACTGGTTCATTTTTTTGCTCTGTAGTTGTTTTTACTGAGTAATTCATAGCTGGACACTTGTCATCTTGTAGATTTGCATTATAATTTTCAGATTCCTTCCAGAGCAAGCAAATTGGGGTCAAATTTTTATTAGATTGAGAAATTGTTATACAGGTTGCTGCTATATGTTTAAGTATTTCTTCTTTTCCTCTCCTGTTCAGATGCATATCTTGTCTTGTAAAGAAGTGTCTGTTTATATCACAGTTCATTACTGTGACACGTTCATGATATTTCACGATTGTAAACAGTTTCCTATTAAAGGCATTTATCTTATTACTTACGCAAGACCAATCTGCCAGGTTGTGT